ACATGCATATAATCGCTACCAGGCTAAATTTGCGATAAGCGCAAGAACTATATATGTACATATATAGTGCACATATAATATCTTTGTATCTGTTAGCTTTCAATGACCAATCAGAGGGAGTTCAAATCACCCCATTTATTGTTTTCATACCGTTGTAATTGGCCCACCTATGGGTTAACTCTCGATGATCTCATCGTTTCAATCTTGGAAGCCTTTGTCTTGAAAAAGAAATGGAACGTCAAGCTCTTCTATAGAGTTGGGAGATATTGAATAATACATGCCTGTCTATGTACATATGTACTTACAAATGCACATAACTAAAGTTATATGAAGGTCGTCACATGATTAAAAAAAGTCTAAGATAAATACGTATCTTAATGTATACGGACAATATAAATATGCACTTTCTTGCAATATCCAGCAACAATCTCTATATTTCAGTGTCTGAATCTTTAATTTACAAAAATCACAAGTGCAGTTTAGTTCTTTTAAGGCCATTTTTATGATTTTTAGAGAAAAAGTCAGCTTATAAAAATGAATAATAGCATGTTAAATAACGACCATTTCGTAGTTCTCAATAAACTCTATATTTCCCTAGATGGGCATTTTTTTATATGCGATTTAACGGGTGTCTCGGCAGTGTAAAGGTTATTGCTATTTTCGCACAAGTTTGTTAAGATTTTGTATCAAGAGGGTGGGAGCGGCGCAATTCGCTTTATTCGAGAGAGACAGGCCCCTCAGCTGATTCATGACCTAAATCCCAATAGCACGTGTTGCTAGCCGGCAGTTGCAAGTTTAACTATCCAATGCTGCGTATGTACCAGCATATACTATATGATAGACTGTTTACCATTAAACTTATTAAATATTTTTCTTAAATATTAATGTGAAATATGGCCGCCCAGTTTAACTTTACATTATTTATCTGTTATGTTACCGGCGAAGCATTGCCACGGTCATATTATTTTGTTTGTTGTGAAATTCAATAAGAATGATCTGCAGAAAATTGAGAGAGAACTCTTGAGAGAGAGAGATCCACACATGTGGAGTAGTGTGCCCCCCACACACAAATACCTGCACATTCGATGCGCGAGCTCTCATCTCTCATTTCCGCTTTAAAAAGCGGGTGCGGGAAAAAGATAGCAACTTACCGGTGTTTCACTAACACAAGAGCCAGCGAGTTTCGACTCCTCCACTCTCACACATACACGCATAACATAAGTTTCCGTCTCTTTGCAAAAATGCATCGCGTATACGCAGTGTTGCGGTTAAAAATTTGTTAGATTTTTTAATTTTTAGAATTACATATCATTTTTGTTTTTGTTGACAGTAGTTTTCATAGTTTTAATTTTTTTAACTTTCGTTTTAAAGAAAAAAATTGGTATTATTACACTTTTTCGATAAATTTTTTGTTTGGGATCCTATGGTGCATCCCTTACTAGCCAAACACACTTCAGGCCGACTGCCAAATAAGGTTACAGTTTTTCTTCGCGAAGCTTCTTCGTTCTGGTGAAATTATTGTGACATTGGTGTTGGTGCATTCCAAACATTTAACTTATTTTCGACGGCCTATGGGCGGTCAAAAATCTATGTAATTGGCAAAAGGAATAAATCGTTTGCGCACAGTCTCACCAACACAGAAACATGCACATACGTGTACAGTGGGGGCAGAGAGAATAGCCTCTCGCTCTCTCCACCGGCGTCAGCTCATGTGTGTAAGCGAGATGGCAAGACGACGCGATCACTTGTTGTGCAGTCAGCTGTTGGTAGGGCCGGCTCGGCTATGAAACAACACTGGCCCTCTAAGTCGCTCACAGTTAGTTTGAAGCCGTCGCCGTGGTAAGAAGTGCATCTTCAGATCAAAAATCATAGCGGATAAACCGAATTGATAGCGCGGCAAACAACCAGCGGAAGGTGAATATTTTCTGCTTAAAAGCATTGTAGCAGTAACATAAATTCTATAAAATTCAGAAATTGTTTTTTCTATTTTTTTTGTTTCTTCCATTATTTAGATGTTTTTTTTTTTTTCAATTCTATAATTATATTTATGTTATACTTATACTTTTGTCTCTAAACATCCCCTAACTTGGCTCACACACGAATACGCACATTTGGATGAGAACTCGAACACGATCGTTCTTGTTCAAATTTCCTACGTGTTTGTTGTTGGAAGTCAGCCGGTGGGGCGAATGCGTCATTCTGGTTCTGATGTCGGAAAATAATACGTTTTCTACGTTAGTGTGTGTTTGGGGGAAAACTGAAAGGGATGTCAAATTGTCCAAATCTTAAAAGGGATAACAATTTATTTTATGTTTAGAATTTTATTGGCAATAAATAACATTTTTTTTTAAATTAAATTTATAAATTATATTTTTATTTATATACATATATGTATATGTATATATATACACATATATTTTTTTTTAGCTTTATTTGGCATACACGGCCAAATATATTTTTGGTTTGTTTTTTCTTGTCAGAGAATATGTATTCAATTGAATTCCTTAGTGTTATTTAAGCCGGCTAGACACATTTTCCTCATTATTTTTATTCCATTATTCCTTTTCCTCTCCTGATTTTTATTTTCTTGTTGCGGTTTCACTTTTCGTTGTTTTTAATTTCACAACAAATGGTGGTGTGTAGTTCCGAAAACAAACTACATGCGATACATACAAGCGTGTAGAAAAGTAATAGCGTGTAAAGCAGATCATGTCGAGTAAAATTAGCGAGTGGCAACACCGTTTACTGAGTGTGGCGTCGAGTAACGTTGTTAGGTAAAGTAAATATGGTGTAGATAACAGTTGTGTAAATACCTGTGAATAATTTCACACAAAGTATGGTTATTTGAAACTGATTGTATTAATTAAATTCCAATTATCATCAAATAATTTTGAACAATTGGTTAAAAAAATAAACACTAAAACACAAATATTAAAAAAAAAAAAAAAAAATGGGTACCTAGAATTAAATAAATCTTAACACACACTCATCTAACAATTTTAAAACTTTAATATTTCCTTACTAATAATGCCTTTTTTTGCCACAGAATACCTGCAAGATATAGAAGCAACGTCATCGACTTGCCCCAGCGAAAACGGAAAGGAGATTTTTACTGAAACGGATATACTTGACTTTGATATAAACATGTTTGCCGGGGATCAACTTGAACTTCTTGAGGAGAAGAAGATGGATCCCTTTAACTCGGCGATGGACGAGATGAACAACGACAACGTATACGACGACACACAACTTATGGATGACTTCCAGCAACTGGCTGGCGAGGAGGAGACTCTGGATATGGCGGAAATGTGCGGCGTTGACTTCAACCACGAGGAGCTCGACCTCGCCAGCTTTCTCACCAGTTCTCAGGACCCCATGCTGGGCACATGCTTTTCCCAGTCCCAGCCCATTGCATCATCATCCTCATTCAGCCAGACCAAGTACATCACGGAGGAGCCTCTGATCTCCGAGGAGACCAGCTACGCCAGCAGCCATTATGGCTGCAGCCAAGAGTCTCTCGGCTTCGGCCTGGAGGAGGACGTCAAGCCCAGCGGCAGCCATGCTGTTGCTTGCGGTGACGTCGCCGTGGCCATCCCTGTTCACATCCCCATCGGTGTTAAGCGCTCGGCCCCGGCGGTCGACTCGGTTGCCCAAAAGCGCAGCCGACTGGTACTCAAGATCAGCCAAGAATCCAGCCACTCAGCGGCCATCAACACGCCTGAAATCATTGAGCAAGTTTTGAACTTTGATTCGGTAAGTCAATATTTATACAAGGCCCATTCAACATGTACCAATCAGGATACTCTTTGGACCTTACAGTTGGAGACCGCCACTCCGAGCATCAGCACCAACTCCACCTTCACCACCCTAACCAGCACCAGCATCAGCCATGAAAACATCATTGAGGATCTACGCAGCGCCGAAGAGGACACCACCACCGACTTCTCGGCGCCCAACACACCGCACAGCAACTACTCAGCGAGCTCCAGCAGCGTGGCGCCCACCTGTCACTCCAGTTTCGGTGGAATCCTCACTGCCCCCGCCTCACCTGCCTTCTCCGTGGCCAGCACCTCCCAGTTCAGCACATCGGCCACCGGCAACAGCGGCAAGCGGAAACGCGGCCGCCCTGCCAAGGAGCATGCCGACGGACCCGATCCGGAGCTGATGTCGCGCATGAGCAGCGACGAGCTGAAGGCCTACCAGGACAGGATTAAGAACAACGAGGCCAGCCGCATCTCGCGCCGGAAGACGAAGAAGCGCGAGGAGGAGGAGAAGCAGGCGGAGGACGAGCTGTTGGCCGAGAATCAGCAGCTGCACGAGCATCACGCCCAGGTGATGATGGCGGAACGCAAGTTCAAGAAGTACCTGATGGAGCGCCAGCGAAAGAACAGCACCTACGTCAAGAAGGAGCAGCACTGAGATTCTCACAGCCACATAGCCATATAATTTAGATCAACTGTCGTTACACACTACTACCAATTGTCGCATATTGCGGTGCATAGCCTTAGTCTGAGGACACACATCCCTCGTCATCCATTCGTTAGTCATCTAAGTTGTCGTTGAAGAAGTCGAGAAGAAGATCCAATTTCCAGTACTTGGAGATCAATCCTGCACGATTGATGTAAAACATAAAACAATTTAAGCCACGTTCTAGGCATAGAAAGGAGGGCGCCTTACAGAGCGCGAGACGTTTAACTTTAAGTGTATTTTTTATTATGTTTGAGAAAACTTAAAAATTTCTACATGGTTTTTACCCAACTTATATGTTTTGTCCTAAGTGTAATATCAGAAAAACAAGAAAAGCACACAAAAAAAACTTATGTAATGATTACGATTTTGTATTGTTTTAACCCCTTATTGAAAACAAAAAAGTTATAAAAATGTCAACAAAAAAATCATATTTGTTAAGGAGCATTGATATGAATGTATCATATAACCGTAATCGTTTTAATAAAACACATGTTCCAAGGAGCATGAAAAAATCAAAACACGAGTCGTTTCTTATTCTTCACAGTTTTTTGTATTTTTACTTTAATGTTTAAACCATATCCACATACAGGCCAATTTTATAAAAAATATTTTATTCGTAATTAACGATTACATTGCACCAAAACTTCAAATTTTGATCAGCTGCCGAGGGAAATTATTTTACAAGTGGGAGGGCTGTTGGGGGTTAGACTCTTTTGGAATAGGGTACAGCAGACCAGCAGAAACGATGACGTTGCTTCGCAATTCGAGATTCAGCCGATTGTGCGTGTGTGGTTTACGGCAATTACCCCACCACATTGTCTTTCGGGTGCTATCGGGGCAGTGCAATTTGCTAGATTTTCGTCGCGTGTGGTGGCGGTAAATTGCTGTCGCTGCTGTTGGGTAAATATTTGAAGTAACATCGCGCGCCGATCCCAGGGAGTGGAGGATTACGTCGATTGCTCCTTTTCGCCATAGGTGTAGTGCAGGAAGCGGAGCCCCTGAATTGATTGCGCGGTAGCGTTGGTAGCGTGGCAGGCAAAGAGCAGCCAGTTTCGGGGCTGGACCTTGTAGGCGAAGCGCATAAAGACACACGAATACAGGGTCAGTGCTGGAAGAGAAAACAATAAATTATTAGAATCTGGGGCTAAAGAAATGCTGCACACATTCATTTCCTCGGCGAGGTCTTATCGGCAGCCGCTTCGACAGTTTCCGTATCTGGCTTATCAGGCAGTAGTCGGGAGTGATTTGCTTTAAAACCATATCACAGTGGCTTTGATTACGACATCTCCGACGGAAACTTTCGATGCTAGCCCCATTTTTTGTAGATTGTTTTAGAGATATCCCTTACCTAGTGTCATTTTACCCGAAATGAACTTGGGACTCTTCTGTGTGTCGGCCAGAGCAGCTAGTGGAATACCCCAATTGGCGGCAGGTCCCCAGAAATGAGTGCTGAGGGATACAAAATATTTTAAATTTACTTAATTATCCAAAACCATAAGCTATTTACGAACCTCATGAAGTAATCCCTCCACTCTTTGCTGGCCACAGATGACATTCCACGGCGGATCGACATGATGCTTTATTAACTTCTAATTGAAAAAACCAACAGGAATACTAATTAAGAGCGCGACAACACCTGCTGGAATAATTTAGATTAGATTGTCTGTCGCTCATCCAATCCGAAAAAATCCCCTCAAGGTCTTACAGGTTGTTTGTGTTATCCAGCTGTTGTTGTTATTTTGTTTCTAGTTCTGCGGTGCCACTTCAGCACTGGCTAACCTTGCTCCAACCACAGCGAATTTTGAAACTTTAGCCAAACGGTCGTCCTCTAAAAAACGCTGCAAAATTTTAATATTTTTAAAGACTTTGATTTGTTTATGTGTGGGGACTGACACTCACAAAGTTATATAAATTTAGGAAACGAGAAATACGCAATAGACCAGTGTGGCAGTGCTTGCGAAAATCGAAAGAAAATGTATATTCGTATTTTTTGGTATTTTTATCCAAAATGTTTGTTGCCAGTGCCCGGTCACACTCAAAGATAGCCGCAACATTTAAAAAAACATTACTATATTGTTTAAATTTTGATTTGGTTTTTATTTAAAGTATTTTATATTTAAATTTATTCACATCAAAACAATGAGCTTTTGGATTTTTTCATTGTTTACCAATTACTAGTTTTTTGCTACTATGGCTTGCTAATATATTATCGATGAGGAATTAAAACTCGACTTGTTTGATAATTATGTTTTGATTGTTTCTTTTTTATTTGATTATTGATAAGTAAACGTATTATGTATATGATAAATAAATATTTGGAGTTTTTTGTTCTTTTGTCAAAAAACTTTTTACTTTCACGTTGTTTTTTCTTGGATTTTAAAAAAGTTAGGTTCTTTCAAATTGACTAGAATAGTGGCTGGAACAAAGGATTACTTGTTCTGGAGAATAATTCGTTATCAAAGCCAATCTTTCCTTAATAAAACATTTTTTAATATATATGTATGTGGGTATAAAGAAGCTATATTTTTTTACATTTTAAAGCTTTAGATTTCAATATACTATAGTACAATTACAGTAATAATAATGATTTAATATTTATATACAAAGTGGAATCATTAAAAAAAAAATATTTAAAAAGTACCCTAATTGGTTAAACTATATCGTTTTCCGCCATCAAGTTGGAAAATATTTCGCATATAACTTGAGTAGGTAATTCAAAAACGCACTCCTTGATTTGCGTACTAAGCTGGCCAATTAAACGTAATTTTAATGTGCATTTAGAACACATTTGCTGAAGTGCGGCGCCACGGTTTTCAAGTGTTTAATCCACCACGCGAGTCCGCTGGGCGCTCTTCAACGCCGGACAAAGAGAATTGGGGACGACGGTTTCTGCGCCGATGTCCTGCGCCGCCGCTTCGAGTCCTTGGCCGCTGTGGCAGCAGCATCAGCAGCAGCATCCGAGTCGCCCGAGGACCACAACTCCGGCTCCGGCTCAGTGTGAATTTGCGACTCGAGAGCGACGGCGGCTCAAAGGGACTTGGCTCGGTAACTGCTCCCAATTCGACAAAAACAAAACCAACAACAAAAACAGCAAACACCAGAGCTAAAGTAGCGGAATAGGCAAATGGAAATGGTCATGCTAGCTGTCGCTGCCTCAGCCAGCATGTAATCCCCGTGTGCGTGTGGCTGTATGTGTTGGTGTGCGTGCGAGCGAGTGTTTATGTGTGGTCAGTGTGTCATTTTGCGAGCATTTTCCATTTTCCATGTGCGGTCTACCAAATATCCAATGAAATTTCGAGAAAGGGCTTAAAAACAAAGAAAGAATTTTCCCAAAGAAAGAATAAACACCAGTAAAAAATGTAACCCCCAGCATGTCATCATTTTCCGCTTACTTCCTCGCCGGAAAATCAGAAAAATCAATCCCCGAAAAATGTGGGAGTAGTGCTTTTGTTGGGTATCCTCCCCCACAATTTAGTTTCTATTAGAAAAGGCGTGAAATTTTTGTAGGTTTTTCCAAAATAAAAAATCAAGTGAACCACGAAAAGCAGCACTTTTCTTGGCGAGAAGAAAAAAGAAAAACATTTAAGAGAAAAGGCAAATGAGCCGCTCCCAAAAAATCCCAAATTACCAACAACAACAAGAGCAGGAGACAAGAAGAAGAATGTGGCCACAAAGAAAGAGCAACCACAACAACAGACAAAGAAACAGGAATAAAAGTCCTTCCAAACAAAAAATATATTAAAACAAAAGGAGTTTTATAAAATATACTATTTTTTAATTTATTTTTATCATAAATAGTTGCGTTTAATTTTTGTTTGTTTCTCAATAAGGCCTTATTCATAATTAATATTTGATATCATAAAATGTGAGGTATTTAAATTGTAATAAAAAACAAATAATGAGTTCCTTAACTTGGAAAATTATTAGCTTTTTATAAATGTTTACCATATTCGTTAACAAGAATAAAATAATTATACATACATATAGAATATATAGAATATATGTAAGACGACCTAGTTCCCTTGAAGGTCTTTGTCATTAGCTGGACCTGCTTTCTGGCCAATAGTAATTACTCGCTCCTGGTGGTGCAGCGCAAAAATGTCCCCAAATGTAACGGCTCAATTGAATAAGTGGCAAATAGAGCAAATAGCTCCTCACTTAAGCGCACTAATCCGGGGCGACTAGTTAAAGTGTCCGAGTCCTAAACTAAATCTGTTCACTTGTTTGCTGTTGATTCAATCAAGCGAACACAAACACAGACACCAAATGCCCAAACACACACACAATGACAAGTGTCTCAATGCAAATTGAGTTTATTGTTCGGTCAATTGAGGAAAATTTGCTTTGCTTAGGTGCTCGGCACTCGTAAGACATTTTACGGCCCGCCAGCAGATGAGGTGATTTGCTTTTAGTTGGTCGGTCGAGTTGGCCGTGCGGAGGAGATTTCCAAATCCGATAAATAATCAAGTGCGAAATCCTTTAATTCTTTAAACCCCACCCGCCCTCAACCAGGAAAGTGTCTCGAGTGCGAACAAACAAAAGCCCAAAGAGTGCAAAGAGTTGAGTTTAAATTTGCCAACAAGCTGGATAAATAAAGTACGAAAATAAGCACAAGTGTTCAGCAACAAACAAGCCTCACAGGATCGGAGGAGACAAGGAGCCAGACTTGCAGCCTAGGCAGTCCACATACACAGATACGGATACAGTTACAGCCGCAGATGCAGCCCTAAGTAAGTACGAGACTAACTACAATTAGCATTTGCATAGCCACTAAGTCGGCCGCCGAGTGTTCCCAAGCCAGTCAGCTTTTCCGTCCAAAAGGGCGTGTGTTGTATCTTTGTCTCTCAGCATCTCTTTTGTATATATATTGAGTGCTTGTGTGTGTGTGCGTGTGCTTCGCACTTTCTCTCCTTCGCAGTTTTGTTGTTGTTTTTGCCTTTGGCGTTTTTCATTGATGTTGATGGCCTGGTACATCATCAACTTGCTGCTCGGCTGCGCCTCTTTATTTTGTGTGTAATAAAATTGATGATAAAATAAAAATGGATAATGGGCGATTTTCGGTCTTCGTCTTTGAGAGTTCCCCACCATCGCGAGAGAGCCATTTCCACAGCGAGAAGTCAAGAGTCTGTTGTTTACCGTCTCTCACTTTTCACTTTTGTGGTAATTCGCCAACGCACACACTAACACACTTGCGTCGGCCCGCTTTCTCTTCTGCCTCTTTTGGTTTCTAAATTCCGACATTAAAATCCTTCTCTTTGATGCTCTCTCTTTGTGGGGCGCTGTGCTTGTGTGGGTAGCGCCTGAGGGGCAAGACAGTGGGTGGTGGGCGTGGGCGTGGGTGCGAGTAGTGGGGGTGCATCCTGTGGCTGATAAGAGCGCTGCACAGTTGTTAATGGGCTTGGAAGCTGGCGATGACTTGCCTTAAAATTGCAACATTTTAATCGCAAAAGTGCGGAAAGTCGATAAAAAATAAACAGGACACACCCAAACATACATCCATGATAACATGGTGAAAAAACTTAAATTTTGTTTGTAATAAGAGTTGTATTAAAACGTTTATACGTGACATTTTATTTTTATTAACGATGATTACTGCTTATATGGTGATAAAAAATTAAAAGATAACTTAATGGAGTTAACTTAATCAACTTAATACTTAACAAGAAAAAGTGGAAATACATAGCATCCTTAACTTTAAATTAAAAACAGGCCCTTTGACTTCTTATCTAAGCTTTGAAGATTACATCTGACTTCAGCCATATCTTGAAATATTTCTTTGCGAGTCCTTAGCATGATTTTTTTTAAAGATTAATGTAAAAAATAATACATTTCCCTCCAGTAAGTCCCACTTTGTTCACGAACGTTTTTGCCGAAACTGGATGCTCATTATAACGAATAGATAGTGTAGTTGCTATTTAATAAGGGAGATACATAGGTTAAGATAAATACGTGGAATTACTGAGAGATTGGGGCCGGGGTGGCCCTGCCCTCCGGGCCGAGCTCGTCAGGTCCTGTGCCTAGGACATTAAGGGAGCACACGTTTCGTCTTGGCCTGGGCCTGGCATAATTTGGCCGTCGTATCGTATTTAGCCGGGTTAATTACCGAACATTGTGTTGATGGCTTAAGCGTTTCATGGGGCGCCATAATGTGGTCGGCGTGTCCTGGAGGAGCTTTTTTAAACATCGCCAATTGTTGTCCTGCGAGGCATTGTTGTTGCTGCTGGCAATTGCAGAGCAAGAAGGCTTCAATGGCTTCTTGGCCGCATTGAGACTTCCTCCTCGTCGCCGTGGAAATGACTGCGATAAGGTTAAATATTTAATAGGTTTTCCGGTTTCTTCAACTCTTCCTCTCCGCCTTTCAAAAAATTTCACCAGCGACAACTGTCTGTCTGTCAGTCTATCTGTCTGTCTGTCTCGGTCTCTTTCTACTCCTATTCTTGCCGTCTCTGTCATTGCTGCGACACACTTTGGGAAACTTTTTCAGCTGTCTTGCCTTTTGTTTTTTGTTTTCCCCCTTGACTATTGTGGAGGGCAGCATTTTAGAAATAAATTAAAATTTCATTTAAGTGCCTTTCAGCTGAAAACTTTCTTAATTACAAATGTTTTGTTGTCTGTTTCCGGCCATGTCCTTGCTCTCCACGATCCCCCAGATGCCTGTCAATCGATGGGCGTTAAATGCCTTTTATTCGGACTATTTTTTTGGCCATTCAAGGTTGATGTGAGGCCCATTACGTTGTCGTGTTTCGATCTGTTAAATGTGTCAAGGTGGCGTGGCTTGTGGTGGTGGTCGGTGAAAGGCCCGAGGATATGCAGCAGCGTTTTGGGCCAAAACCGCACTTGAGATAAATTGCCTGCAAATGGCCCGGACTGGCTTGGCCTGGTCTCATATTAAAATACCCGAGAATATAGACAAAGGACTCGCTGACATCTCTTAGTCATGGGCCAGGTGCTCCT